TGGCCAAAATGGAATGCGAGAATGTAAGCCACTGGCACACCAACAATGTAGTAAGCTCCCAGATTTGCAGCAGCAGCAGTAACTTGCAATCCACAGCCCTTCGCAGCACCTTCGATTGATTCATAAGAACAATTAGTCCAATAAAGATATAAAGAACCAAAGTTCTTGGAATGATTAGATTATAGAAACATACCTGAGATGGATGCTTGGATATCGTCCATGAAGGAAATGAGAGCTATGAGCGGGCCAAGTTTTGCCACATAGTTGATAACTTCTCGCTCGCTGCTATAGACTCTTCCCAAAACATGGCGAGCTGAGAACAAGACGATTGCCATTGTTGTAGCATCTACGAGCCCAAGACCAAGTGTGACAAAGAAAGCAAATTGTGCATTGGAAACTTGGCCAGCTCCTAGCTCGTTGGAAATTCGCATACTAGTAACAACCAGCAAAAAAAATTTAGAACATTGAGAAGAATAGAGAGAATTTATACTTTACGAATTACCTAGCTGCTACACCAATGGCGCAAGGTATCATAAACATGAAGCTCACAGTAATCAAGCTGGAACGAGGAACTAACCATTAGTAAAGTAAAAAGTAAAACAGGTGACTGAATATTAAGAGTGGTTTGTTTTTTTTGTAAATTTACATTATCGAATAAACTGATGTCTCGAACTGGGGATTTGGCTGAAGCCCTGCAAGGAGAACTAATATCTGAAAAGCCCACCATTCCACACTGCAAAAAGTTTCAAATCTAAATAAAAGAAATGAAAACTAGATAAATTTACCATTCCATGATCGCTGAGGGAACCACCAGCTTCAAGAAAACTTTGATACCTCCAAACATCTGGGTGGAAATCCAGGCCAGCAGCGTTGGATCTGAGGGATAAAACCACCAAGAGCACCAAAAGTCCAGCGATTAGCCAGCAGGAAATGCTAATGGAGATTGCTGCTCCATGAGCTCCAATTCCCATCTTGTGGATCATGATCCAGTAGAGTGGTGAGCTAACAAGCTCACGATGGACCAAAGTAGCATTGGAACCATGCAGCTTTGGGACTGGAGGAACTTTACAAGCAAAATTTTGTTATCAAAATGAGCTTAAAAATTAAATACTAGGTGAATTGATGTAGAATGAGCCCCTTGATGATACTCCACTTATTCACGTGAAATCCCTCCTCTACTTATGTGACTCTTTGTTTTCTGAAAGAATTGTTGTATCAAGTCTTTCTATAGCAACAACACTAATAGGAGGTTGTTAATGCCATATCCTCTACCCTGGAAATGGAGGATGTCAATTAGGGAACCACCTACACCACCAATATGTGTAGCCAAGCTTGTTACACACCCAACACTATACATCTCAATGTCCCTATCCTTGTCCTTGAACACACATAGCTGCAACATCAACATCCATTAAAGCAAGACTATCACTAGGCAAAACCAAAATTGGAACATGTAGAGCTATAAGTAGAATAGGGGCAAATTTGTATTATTATGCCAACTAAAGAGCATCATTAAGAGTCACTGGGTGCACAAGCTCTACAAGATCTTAACAAAGTCTTAGCCATAACATCCTCAACTTGATCTACTTCAACATATTGGGCTTTGCTAGAAGCAAAAAACTCCAAAAGCAAACTCTAAATTGCATCACTAACTCTAATGGCTCTTGATGAATCCGATGCAATTACTAACTAGTGCACAGTTAGGCATAATTTCAGAATCAACACTTCCTTCGCTTGAACAACGTATTGGCAGCAAGTGACGAAGACAGATTGCCAAATGCTGAGGTAATCTGTGCTTTCTTTCTGATCTCTGTTTTTAATCTTAGATCTTCTGAAGCATCCATAAGAAATGGGGTGAGAGAGGCTCGAACTCTCGACCTCAGGATAACTCAGCGAGCAAACTATGAGACCTACGCGCTGACCAACTGCGCCACCACCCCACACATTTGAAAACTTGTAATGCAGGTGAAATATTGTTTTGATTCGAATTGGTTGCTGTCCATTGATGACACTGGTCCCAAGTTCAGTCCATCACACAAACACGTACTCCAAATTCTGACCTGTATGCCTACACTCCTGGAGTACTTAAGGATGTGTAGGCATAGTGTGTCTCATAAATTGCTGACTGAGGTTGAAAATTTGAGCCTCTCTCACCCCATTTTTTTATGGCTGATTCTCTACCCTGTTGCTTGCGATTAGAAAGTCCTATTTACGAGCTAGATTTTAAACAAGTGGGGATCGAGAGCTTTTTTTTTATTCTATGGGGGGTGGTGATGACTGTTTCTAAACTGGGGCATTTAGTGAGAGACTAGACTAATGTTAAAGAGACTGGATGTTTTAGTGAGAGATTAGACCACAGCACAAACAGTTTTAATCTGTTGTTGGTCCACATTCTTTGTCCATTTTCAGGTACCAAGCAAGCAATAAGAGATAGCCAACTATTGCCGCGACCTGTACTGCCGCGTTCAACTTCGGAGAGAGCAGATAATAAGGATAGTGATTTTGGTGTCTGCAAAACTTGCAAAGCCAAACAGGATGCTATAAAATTCGTTGCCATGCTTTGAAACTGATTCCGGACAGTCATTGGATTCACATTGCCAGCCACGCTGTCGTCAACCACGAACATCCGAATGGAGCTTTGATTTTGGCATGCAACAATTCGCTTTGGAATTCCAATAACCAGAGCAGATAGTGTTCCGCTTCTCTGATTCTTGCCGGATACATTGCTTGTACATCCGCAGGGAAGGAGCGACAGAGATTGCATAATGTTGAATCAGCAAATGAACGGTTTTGGTACGTGACTTATGGAAGTTTTACATTGTTTTATACCTGTGTTTTGGCTTCAGGGTGATTTTTTAATTAGTCTTTTGCAAGACTTAGTAGCAAAGAGCAGGAAGGGCTCGTTGTTCCTTTTATAAATTGCAACGAATGGTAACATAGAAAGCCCCTGTTCCATCACACTTATCAGCAAGGACGAACTCCAGCTTTTGGAACCCACCTATAAAAACCAGCTTCTTGGGTTTGGTCAGCTTCAACAACTTCTCAAATGGCTCTATCAGGACCATTCCAAGGTAAACCTTGATATTCTTTAAAGTAAAACAAAAAACTACAATGGCAGCGGATCTGAACTCGAGGAACAAGGCGAACTCGTGACCTTGGGATAGTTGAGAGGGTAGAGCTGCTCAAACTCGAATTTCTCTTCCTGCGATCTATAAACGTTGAAGAAGCAGCAGGCGCTCTTGACGTAGACAAGGTGCAGTACAGCCTTCACTTGAACTCGGATTCCAGTGGGCATAGACTGCTGCTCAGTGAAGCGCCACCATGTATCCGGAAAGTCCTCCAGCACGGGACACGTGGCCTTCCCGTTCCTGGGGAAGGGAAGCTGCGGCATTGACCACTTCAAGGCGGACTCCGGCTTGTGTGGATCGTACTTCTCGTTGTTCCCCCATCGGAGCAAGTTCCACTCGAATCTGGCGGCTTTGCTATTCTCCCCCATGCCCTCGACTGGCCCCAGGAGAGTCTTGTAGATCGAAACCTTCTCCTCCTGCCCCCAGGCATGCGTCACCGTCAAACTGGCAGGACGGAATCCTAGCTTGGCATCCACTTGTGTCTTCCTCGTCCTGATTTGCTCGGTGGCAGACACCGTCCATGCTTTCCTCTCTATGTCCTGCTGGTTCTTCATCTTGTAGACGGGCTGGCTCATGGGGACTGCTTCCAGGTTGTTGTATTCCGGCTCCAAACTGACCTGTATGAAGTAGGGGTAGAAGCCAAGGCCGTGTTCTGGCTCCAGGAAGTCCTTTTCGGGGACTCCCAACACGAATTTGTCGATACCAAGTTTGAGGTAGATTTGGTTGCCACTTGACTGAACGGATGGCTGCACCACGAACCTGAGTATGATCATTTGGCGCTTGGTCAGGGCCTGAACACTGAGCTGCTGTGGTTCGGGTAGCGAGGCCGTGTCGAGCTGGAGCGAGTCGCAGTCTTCCCACCCGCCGTCATGGACGCCCCTACCTGCTGTCCCGTGCTGCGGTTCTGGGGCTTCCTCAGGGAAGACAAGTGATGTTGAAAACGGAGGCGGGTGAGAAGAGTCGCGCTCAAAAGAAACAAACTTCCCCTTCTCTTCCTTCTCAACGTAATCCTTGGAGATCAGCAACTTCTTTGCATCGTCGAGCGCTTCCCACTCTAGCGAAAGGGTGATCACGTTGTTTTCCGGATCGCATATTAACCTGGCCAATTCTTCCATTTAGCCCTTGAGCGTGTGAAGAAGCGAACTCCTCTATGTCTATATGTTTAGATGTCCATACTTGTTAGACAACATGGCCTTGACCTGGCGAGTGACCCACGAGCACGAGTGACGCCGGGTCATCGTGCTCGAGTTGGACCGCTTGACTGCGACGAGGTTGAGCTAGATTGACATGGAGTTCGTCCGGCTTGGCATCTTTGTGACCGAGTGGTAGCAGGTGGCTCTAGTCACACGGTGGAGTCACCTGGGAGGCGAGGCGAGTGATCCATAAGCGGCACCGGATCATCGAGTGAGTTTCACATGTGAGTTTCGCTAGAGTTTCGCTAGAGAGTGCACTCTCGACTTCCCATCACCGACACCGTCTAGGTTAAGTGAAGGGCTTATCTTGTACTTTGCAACAAATGGTAGTCCCTAGGGGACGATGGGGATAATAAAACGTACAATTACTTGACCCGGCCTTCATTTCATATTAAAATGCCACTATCTAAGTGTAGCAATCACTGGGACCTTCACGCTTGTCTGGGTCCTTGTGTCGTGCCTTATGACGCGTCTGGATCCGCGTTTACGAAACCAGCAACTTGCGGTATCCAAATATATAATCTAAAATGTCATGATCACGTTAGTTTGAAGCTATCCAAATATATAATCTATAATATCGCGGTCATCTTTCCCCAAAATCAGCAACTTGCGGTATCCAAATATATAATCTATAATGCCGTGATCATCTTTCCCATGACGTTCGTTCAAAACCAGCAACTTGGGGTATCCTCCACTTAAAATTTATTGCAACGGGATTGATCGCTTCCACACACAACAAAAGGAGCCCACTGATCAGGCTTAAAAACATTAAGGCCAAATTCATCCTCGGTCTCTATCATCTCCACCATTGCTTTCTGCATTGCCAATCCAATGTCCAACACCTTGAGGTGCTCGTAGAGTTTCTGCATGAACACTTTACTGGAGTTGTCGTCAACTTTCCACAAGGATGCCACGACTGATGGGACTCCCAACATATGGAATGTTCGTGCGAATCCCAAAACTCCCTCAGACTTTACACGCCCAAGGGCAGTCTGGCACGCGCTCAGAACAACCGTCGTGGCCTTCACCGCCCCTGCTTGTTCCTTGATCTCCTCGCCTGTAAGCGAATTGTTGCATGCCAAAATGAGAGCTCCATTCGGGTATTCGTGGTTGACGACAGCGTGGCTGGCAATGTGAATCCAATGACTTTCCGGAATCAGTTTCAAAGCAGCTTCTTTCGTGGCTTCTTGTCTCTCGAGACGAGTCACGCTATGCGCAAAGGAACTGGCCAGCTCGCGCGTGATGTATGCGGCTTCTTCTTCTGCATGTGGGAGGTCAAGTGTTGGATTTCCAATAACCAGAGCGGATAGTGTTCCGCTTCTCTGTGATTCTTGCCGCTGCTGCTGACGGATACATTGCTTGTGCATCCGCAGGGAAGGAGAGACAGAGATTGCATACTGTTGAATCAGGAAGGGCTCGTTGTTCGTTTTATAAATTGCAGCGAATGGTAACATAGAAAGCCCCTGTTCCATCACACTTATCAGCAAGGACGAACTCCAGCTTTTGGAACATACCTCGTGAGTGATAAAAACCAGCTTCTTGGGTTTGGTCAGCTTCAAGAACTCCTCAAATGGCTCTATCAGGACTTTGTACCAGAATTTCATATTCCAAGGCCAGGACACACTTTTCATGGTGGTCAAAGCTTTCTCTACCATTTGAAGGACGCTGTTGGGCTTGGTTAGCTGCAGGCCATGGGACTCGTGAAGTAACTTGCTCTCATGAGAATCCCAGTAAAGGATGTGTGTGTGGATCTGTTGAGCGAAGATATGAGAAGTCACCAGTAGTGCTGTATCTCTCCCACTTAAGCGAGCAACTTCTTTGATCTCCTCCCATGCCGACTCTTCACTGCAGTCGAACTCTTCCAATTCCAACTCTCTCTGGAAAGCATCACTCCTCGCCGAGTTCCTCAGGATGTACAGGAGATCTCTACATCTCTCTCGTTCCGCCCAGATGAGCGCTTCTCGCATACGGTTGCCCCCCATCAGAAGACTTTGCAGCATACGGAAGCTTCGTTTGTTGTCGTCCAGGTAACCGATTCGGCCATAGCTGAAGCCTCCAAAGTCCAGCTCCATCTGCTTTCTAGCAGCTTCTTTGAACTTGCAAATGGCCTTGTTGAGATTATCATCATCCTTTGCGCATGCGTAGTTCCGGCCTTGCTCATTGAGAACCCTGAGGAGAATGCTGGGATACTCCTGTGCGAGCCTCTGGGCTTCTTCCAGCAAACTCTCTATGATCTCAAAGCTATGCTCATTGCGATGCATATGAGCCAGTGTTGCAATAAAAACCAGAGCCATAGCTGTTTTTGCCGGAGAACGTTGGACCTCCTTCGAAATCAGATGCTCCGCAGCATTTTCCTCTGCTTCTTCCCTCGTGCGATTGAGGAAAAGTGCCTCGGGCTCATTGTCAAGCTGACCCCTGGCTTGGCCGAGCATGGTTTGAATGTCCATAACAGTCCGGACAGAAGGCTTTTTCATGCTGAACGCAATAAGATCCTCGAACGCCATAAGACCCTCTGTTGAAATCCTTTCAACCAAACGTAAGAAATTCCTACCGCTCTCCTCTAAGTCTGCTGGAAACCCTTGGAGCAGCCGTATCACTGCCCCGTTATGTTTCTTGGATGCATCGTCTTCGCCTATCATACCCGCAATACTTCCCGAAAGCGATTCCGTGTACGCCAAAGCCACCTGCTGCTCCACTGCTGCACACCAGAAAATTAATAGCCTGAAAGGTAACAAGCTCACCTGAAGCTGCTTTAGCCATCTCATGTAGCTCCTTCTTGACCTCGTTGGCGCGTTTGAAGTCGCCAGAGTCGCAAAGGCAATGCCCAAGCCGCCACAGAGCCCTCCAACGTGCTTCATCCGTGTCCATGCGGATTGCAGCATCCTTTGCGATTATGCAGTAGGCAACGGCCTTTTCGGGGTCGCTGAAGTTGGAGCAGACGCCCCCGAGGCTAGACCAGTTTCCCAAAACTGAAGCTGCTCGGTTGATGAGATAAGTGAGATCCTTGGCACGCGCCAATTCTAGACTTTTCTGCATCCATCTCATCCCGCTAGCAGCATCGTCCCTGGTAACGGCCGTTAGGGCCACATAATACATGGCCCAGGCTTGGCCAGAGTCCGCCTCTTGAAGGATGGATGCAAGAAACTCACGTAGCTGCTCAAGCTCTTCTTGGATTGAGAACAACATCCCAAGTAGAAAATGCTCGACCAAGTATTCTACTGAATTGTCCTTAACTTTCAGAACCATTTGATGAAACAACACCCAGTGTCGAATCATGCCCATGCTGGCCATTGCACCGGTTTAGGAAGATCTCGCAAAAATATCTCTTGTCCAAGTGAAGAGGTGTATTTTTCATAGCTTCAAAACACGCCGTGAACCGTGTTGCCGTGGTTCACGGCAACACGCCATGGTCCCACAAACACGCTTATCCATGTTAACATCCACAGCTCTTTCTTAGCTCGAATGAGAAAAGAGATGAAAGAAAATAGTTTTACCTGCATTTCCGTCAAGTCCATGACCTTCTAGAACCTATCCCTGATGTTTCTCTGCATCATCTCCATGATCACACTCCATAAGAAATTGATGTTGGTTATATTTGTGAACCTATGAATAGGGAACTTAATATGTAGGTTTTTCGGTCAAAAACCAAGGTAAAAAGCCATGTGGTCCAAACCTACTTGCATAACTTCGTTTCTTAAAGTTGGTTTTAGAAATTAGTTAATTTATGACTTCAAGCTAGAGGTCAAATTATTGGTTTAGTATTTGGTATATTATCTAAGTTTTCCAGGAGAGGTTTTTTTCTTGATTTTTTGTAATAGTTATATATTTGGGTTTTGCTTATGGTTTATTGGATATTTCAATGGTAGATTTATTTTTGAAACTTAGTTTAGTTTTTTGAAAAACTTTTTGCCTTGTTATATTAACCATTTAAGTGTATACTTTTAGTAAGGTTTTTAAATAGTTTCCAATATTAGTTTAAAGAGCGAGCTTTACACTTGGTTTTTTGTCCCTTTATAATATACTTTAATAGAGTGTTTTACGTAAAGTAGGTTTATAATAGTTTTAATTAACAATGTCATTTTAAATATTGTTTTCATGTACATTTTTATGTCATCTACAATATTGGTTTCTATTAAGCCACTATTGTTGGTTTATGATGTTGCATTTGTGGCCTGCAGCAAAACCACAACAATGGTGTTTTTATACCAAATACCTGTGGTGAGAGCATCCAGTTTTATTCTTAATATCCCAAATGCATGAGCAACCTTAAGAATGTATACCAATCTTTCATGTTGAAAAGCTTTTTTCTATAGTTTGAAAGTACCTTGCTTTTGTCAATTCATTATGTTGCAAAAACTTTAGATATTTTCAAGCATAGGCTCAGTCCTCATAAATATGGATGGTGCAGTCTCAAGTTTGTCAAGTGCCAACAAGTTAAATGGAAGTGGAGGCTCAGGCTTGATTTCTGGAAGGTATTGCATTTAGAACAAATAAAAAAATCTATGCCATACCTGGTGATGGTACATAAGGCATAAGAGCAAGCATAGGCTCTTGTACATCCATGTCATCTGATCTAACAACAGCATCGGTTTTATTTGCAGCCTATGCTTCCTGTGGTTGTTGCTACTCTGTTTTTGCTACCTTGGTGGCATTTATGGCTTCTAGTGTTGCCTTCGCTGCTTTCTCTAATGCTGGCTTTGTTGCTTCAGTCCATGATCTCGGTTTCCTCTGTAACTAGAAAAGAATAAATTATAAATTTTTAAAACCAAGAAAAAAACAATTTTATCGTGACTATTGTTAGAGTCTAAATCTCGATTAAACCAATCCAGTTGCCCTGAAAGAGAAAAGATAAATTCATTCTAAATTCAAGTAAATACAATACCTTGATCCAGACATAACTTAGTTCTCTGTTTGGTTTGATGGACTATGTATTTATGCATGCATTAAAAAATGTTGTACAATTTCAAACATAAATGTATGACACAAACTCCATGTGATTCTCTTATGATCCCGAGCTTTCTTTCTGGCTTTTAGGTGCATCTATAGAAAAACCAAGTTAAAAATAACCACAAAAACATATAGCTTACCAGATTTCTCCTCATCCTTCTCACTTTGGTAAAGCACCAAAAATATCAGCCAAAAAATTTAATAAAAATTCCATACCTCATCATCTTCATCATCTTCATTATCTGATCCTAATGCAGAGTTGCTTTCAGTTTCATATCTTCCAACTAAACCAATATTCAAACTATTAGTACATTTCAAAATAAATAAACTCACCTCATCACTTGGAGGGTTCAAAACCAGTTTTTTCACAGTGATCCCAATGCAAGATTGAGGCCAAAAGCATGTCATCTACATATAAGAAAGAAGGTATCAATAAAGCAGGAGAAAAACCACACAATTAACTTACATCCTCTTGAAGCTTTGTGCAATCACAGATCATCTCCTTATGAAACTTAGGCAATTCATAAGGAAATGGAAGGCAGATGCCCTTTACCTTAGCAGGCTTGATAAAAGTTTGGATTTTCACTGGAGTACTTGTGAATTTTACCTGTCCCATAGATATGCTCCACTATTGTTGTCCCAACAATTTGCTAGTATTGTGTGAAGGTGATAGGGAGAGCCTTATTTGCAATGTGATGCTTCTGCAAACAATAGTTAAAACCAACATAAAAACTTGTCTATAGGAAAACCATATGGCTAAGTTTCTTACATATGTAAGCAATAAGATCTACCTTTTTTGCCAAGATCATACCATATGCCTCCTTTCTTTTTGCCTGCCTTCTCCCCCTTCTTGAGATGTTGTTTGAGGCCTTGCAAAACTCCCAATCTTCTTTTCTACAAGCTGGTATTGGAAAGCAGGTAAATCATCTCCCCAAACTTTGGAAATGAGGTTAGCATGAATCTGTAAATTGTGGGGAATATTGGGCCAGAAATCAATGGAGTAATTTGGAAATGCTTCTTTCACCCTGTTCACCAAAACCATTGAGCCACCATATGCAGGGAGCCTAGTGAAGCGCATGTTGTACTTCTTCTTTGCAAAGGTTGTTGGCATGATCACATCAATTGATATTACCATTGAGTTGGAAAGCCAAGGTTGTTTGGAGGAAGTTGTTGGATCACTTGCCCCAGCAGCATTTGATGTAGTAGTAGCATGCTTGCCAATGGCTACAATTTCTTGTGTGATCCACATTGCATCACCAAGTGGAGCACTAAAGTCCACCCAATCTTATTTTTAAAACTGTAAAGCTTCCTTATCAGTGATTTTCTCCATTAGAATCTTCTCCACCAAAACCTTTGGAGCATCTCCATTGCAACACTGAGTCATGAAGTTGCAAACCTCTCTTTAGTTGAGCTTCTTGAATTCCTCAGCTATGAAGGATGCCATAAAAACCTATAAAAAAACCAATATATTAAAAACAACAAAAACCAGCTTAAAAAGCAAGTTTTGACTTACTTTTGTGGACTCTAAGCAATGAACAGTCTCCCTATTCCAATCCTGCAAGCACTGTGTAATATCATGATCCAATAAAAAATAAGTAAATAGAGGGACCCAAAAAAGATTTATTATAGCCCCAATACAGCATATAATTGTCTGGAAGAAAGAAAATAAGTGAAAGTGATTGTTACCTTTTTGCCCTTTTTGACTCTTGCTACTTTCAGAAACTGCAAAAGCACACTAGGTAGCTATTATGCAGCCTGTAGTGCCGGCACACTACCACCCTCAACCCTCAAAAAAACCATAAGAGGAATACAACAAAAAAAAACTCAAATAAACCTTATTCTTCAATTGATATAGAAACTATGGGTTTTATCTCGTTTAATCATAAGTTTCACACAATACCACTCTTGGCGAGATGTTGCTAGGTTACTGCTAGAAGCCTTCTGCAGTTGCCCAGTCCGGGCAAATGCAGGAAACCCGGAGGTTGAGGTGTGATCCAGCTCCTAAGGTGAACATGGTGCAGATTTGTGAGCCTGGGAAGCGGCATTTCTTCTAAATTCTTTGGATTCTTAAATCTTAGAAAAATTGCCTTGTAAATTTGTAGTATATGTTGTAGCTTATTCACATATATCAAAACAAAAAGATTCAAGAAACAACTGTTTAAACCCAAAATAAAACCAAAACATAAACCAATATATTATTAGTGCAATCTATATGAAAAAATTCAAAAGTAGGTTTTTTTTCTAAATTACAACTATGGCTTTTTTTCTTTGGTTTTTCCAAGCAAAAATCTACTTTAGGTTCTTACATGACAACTACATATTTCTTTTGATTAAATCAAAAGTGTAATCAAGAACTTACAAGTGTGATTGTGAAAGTAGTGTTAAAAAAAAAAATTACATTAGGATGCAGTAAAATTCAGTATGATAAATCAAATGACACTCAAGATTCTGATATTTGAATGGGCCTGCTGTTTGAGAAAAGAGGACACTATCAAGGCATCCAAGGCAAGTTTTTGAGTTAAAGGTGAATGTTACTTGTCTTTCCTTTGTTTCTTTCATCGGTCGGTTTGCAGGATCTCAAGTGCAGGAGATGCACAAACTTTGAGATTTCTTCGTAGATGCTCTGGAGTTTTTGTTTGCAGGGAATAGCTTCCGGTGGATCAAGAACAAGTACTTGTATGGATGGTTATAAGAGAGGAAAATAAGAATGCAGCAACCAGTTTAAGCTGCGAGCTTGAAAGAAAATAATCGTCATTTAAAGAGCATTTCAAAACAATTATGTACCAATGTTTTCTTCCAGGAAATCTGCTCATGAAGGCACCACACTACATTCATATCACTCTTCTTTCGTGATCAATTTATTTTGGTAAAGCTTTAGCTTTCAAATTAATCAAGGATTCTACGAAGATGACCGTTGGAAGAAACAACGTTCCAGACCGTTGGATCTTCTTGTCTTGCTTTGCGCTGCTGATTTTTCTGTCGCGTGTCTGTGTTGCGAGGTGGGCGGCGTGCCGTGATATGGCAAGGAGGACCCGGCGCTCCCCTTGGCCCCTCTCTCCATCACGAGCGAAGTGTGTGTGATTAAACTAACTTAACAGGAGAACCAAGCTTCCCTCAAGGCATCAGGCTCATCGACCTCTGAGCAGCTTTTGGAATCGACTCTATAGTACAAAATACAAGACCTAGTCGTGATCCATATACTGTCTTTCCCATTGCTACATGTCAAGTAGCTCCACAGCCACGGATTATGAAACTCCTCATGATCACGGTACGACACAGTCTCCCACTTCACTCCCTGCTTCTCAGAGATGATCAGTCCCCTGTCATTCCAGTTTTTTCTCACCAATAAAAGCCGGTCCCAACCCATCTGAAGGTAGCACCGCATGTAACAAATTTCAATGCGGTTCAGATTCAACTCGTTGGAATCAACCTGTTCTACAAG